TTCTCACTGAAGAGCTAAGCGAGTGCGTAAACCAGTGCAAGGTACCATACGGGGTGCATTTGAGTTACTAGTGTTCCATTAGTGCGGGTAGAGGCATTGCTTGCTTGTCATATGGCATTTGAATTAGAAGCTATAAGATAAGACGCAGGTACGGTTAGGATGTGTAACGCGTATCCATCCATCAGCTGCCGTGACAACACATGGTGGTTAGAATAAGTTGTGAGAGGAACCGAGTCTGTAGGTCTCCCAAGAAATTGATGAAGATATGCACCAAATCACCTTATGAAGAGCGCCTCACGTGACCTAATGGCTTACAATAACTTTAACACTTCTGGACATCCCTAAAAAACCTGCTTAAGTTTAGTCCCAATACCAACCTAAGGGGCAACACCCATAAATTGGAGACACAACTCTTACTCTTTGGAAGTTGTCAAATGCTGAAATTGTCTGACGACTGAGCTAGTCCAAGCGACTTCCCAGGAGTCCTTTAAGAGGCAAGTGGATTTGTTCTTAAGGATTAAGGATAGTATCATACTATGATTTACCAATTTCTCTTTTATTGTTAACATGCCTAGATTCCTGCCTGGAGGTTTTGGTGACCCCCTTGCTACTAGACACGGAAGCCTGTTAAGCGAAAGCTCCTTCCATTCCGTCCACAACCATTTGAACACATGAACTAGGCGCTGAGAGACTCGCTTATGACAAGTTTCTTGCGACGATTAAGTAGATAAGACAAAGTAGCATTAGATTCAAAAATTTATTCGAGAAATTTCATTAAGAACCGAATATCAAACAAAGGTTTAAACCAAATTCCCGTTTAAAAGTTGTATTGGTAATGTTAATCTGCAGTTTTTGTTATTTTTTTCCAAACGAAAGAGTAAAAAAGTCAAAAAATACTGAAAGTGGTTGTGAGACTAAAATGGACGTCCAGCATCCTTTTTATAATCTGCTGTTCGTTGGGTCTCCCGTAAACAGTTCCATAGGGCCATAGTTTCAAGGGCGAAACAGTTTCTAGGGTCTGTGAAGGCTCACTCCTGTTGCATTCTAAATGAAAACAACAGTGATGAATTTAGTCAAAAATGTGAAATAGATAAATAACCAAATTACATGTTTTTTAGCAAAGAATTTATGCAGTTGTGATTTACCTTGAGTTCATGAATATTAGATAAGGTCAGCTAGTATTACTTGCGCAAAGCATAACATGGGCTTAGTACCGTATTGCAATGCTTTTATTATTTTGCTCCCATTTAAGTATTCCCATGCATCTGAGTCTAGTTTAACAGGAAAATATACAAGCAGAGTAAGTGTATGATAAACTAAAAGTCCCATTTGTCAAAAAAGATTCTTAACATTTGTCCACAGCCAGCTGCATTTAATTGAGACACAGAACACTCATCTTCTAGGACTGTATACTGCTGTTTTGCGGGGGCAACTAAAAGTTCAGACACTTAGTTATCTTGCTACCGATGTTATTGCTGGGGAAATTGTTTAATGACAGTGATCATGAAATATGGTCAGTGATAGATGTACAGTTTAGAAATAAACACCAAACATACTTATCGCTATCTTATAATGTATGACAGCAACAGCATCAAAGGCACGTTTTTTCCTATTTTTAATCAGAATGATCTGAATCCGTATACACATTAGAAACAGGCAACTCTACTTACTAAACTGATCTGTTTCGTTACAGGCTTCAAGCACTATACTTAAGTATATTATAATTCTTTCAACTAAACTGAATTATACGACAACCAAGAACACTAAACTAAGCAAGTGTCATAGTTATTGTTTCACTTGCAAAGACATGTTCCTCAAAGTAGTTAAATGAATATAATTAAGCCGATAAAACCAAAACACGAAATATAGGCCAGTTGAACTTACCTAAGAAAAAAAAGAAGGATACATATAAACTGCTTTCATACTGAAGACAACAGGGAGTTGTTCACAGAAACACAGTTTACAGTACAACAAACTTTTCTTCAGTAAAATCATGCACTGACAGTCTATCTGGAAACAATCAACTATGTGAATTAACTTACTATGACTTGAGATATCTTCCCAGCGTGCAATGGACGTACAGTGTAACGCAGTCAGACGCGGCGAATACAAATTAAAAACAGAGCAAAATTAACTACATAATCTAGTTATTTAATTAAAAATACATTATGAAATGACAAAATCTGTGGTTACTTGAACACAGATGACTCTGTGCGATACATTAAGTTTACATGGTTGCGTTGCGGATAAGATCACCCCATCGACGACCATTCGAATCAGTATACGAAGGACCTTTCAAAGTTCTTCAACGTGAATCTAAGTATTATATGGTCGATAAGAACGGAACAAACGATAGCATCAGCATCAATCGCTTAAAAGCAGCGTATTTAGAAGGAAATCCTATTCACGTCGACTTTCCTTCGGTACAATCGCACAAGACGACTCCTACACTAATAATTCCTCAACCGACAACAAACACTAGCAATGATACTCCGAATGTATCTGAAAATAACCTTAAGACGACGCGTTCTGGAAGAAGAGTAAGATTTCCAGAATATTTAAACGACTACTGAACGTAAAGCACTACTCGACATTTTATATTATCTCGATCTTTCTTTTTACAATACATAATATTTCAAAAAAACAATTTTAATATGCTTATATATTCATATTTTTTATTTAAAAACAAACAAACAAAAAAATATTATTTTTTAACGCTATTACGTGTGCTTGAGTTTATTTTCCTTTCTTTTCGCCGACATATGAGTGTATTTCGACAAGCACTTACATTTATTTTTTTCTTTTCAAGGACGGCTGGAAAAGAACGATGCAGTTTACGAGGAGTCGAAATTTTTGTTGTAACTTTTTCTTTTTTTACTATGTTGTACCTCGGTCCCATATAGTAAGGAAAGACGACCAGACGCTGCTAATCCTAGCAGGCTACCAGAAGAGTGTTTACCAACGACAAACTCGTTGGGTTTAAACTCCTGGCTGGCCACGTCTTAGGGTCGTCACTGCCCCACTAGGAGGGAGAGTGATCTGTAGCGGTAAATATATCCCCAAAATAAATAGCTCTGTAAGTTTTCGACATTGGATGCTGACCATATGTTTTAGTGGACTCATCTAGCTGAAGGCGCTCGGTCATGAATCCGCGCCACATCACGTGTGATAACGCTGTGCCCAACACCTACCGCAATCGCTAGCCAGATTAGATCAGAGGATTCCGATATATTGGTTATCTCCAAAAAGACTCTCCCGATCTCCTCGACTCTGTCTTTTGATTTCTCTGGGTGGGAACGAATCATATTAGAAGGTGTTACTGGTAGAAGCGTTGTCAAACACTGAATACCTGTGTCATCTTCAACCATGTTTCTGAGACAACAAGGGTGTCAAGGTTTTCTATATCCACCACTGTTTCGAGCTTCGCCATTTTATTTAGTAGGCTACGAGCATTTGTGTAGTACATCTTTAATTATATGAAGATCTTTCCCTTACCATTCAGAGCGGATTAGGGATCGCTTTGCTTCACATTTTCAGAATTTGAAAACCCTTAAGTACGAGGTTTTTCACTGTTTCGGCGGCGCTCGTTTATTACTACTTCTGCCAATCGTCTTTTAATAAGGTCAACTAGACTTAGATCCTCACGGACGTATATTCTGGACCCAATCAGTTTGCTTGAATTTCCCAACAACAGGTTTCTTTATTTAGTCGAAGCATGAACAACCTTTAAGAGACGGATTTTCTGAGTACTTTCAGAATCCATTTTTTGTCCTGTTCTATAAAAATTACAGATGTTGGCTCCTGAAACTGTTTCTGAGAGTAGCTTGCTTATTAAGGGCTTAATGTGGCTGAGATCGTCCCCAAATATAGCCTTTGGTTCCTTTACGGAGGATTCCCTTAACTTACGAAAAATGACTGGCCTATCACTGAGGTCCATATTAACAAGTTGTAAAGGTATTTGCCTGAAATTTCGTCCCTGCAGTCCAATTTCGAGTCAGTCGCAAAAGTCTCACCGTTTCCTTACTTTTCTGAGGATAACTGTAAGCCAACGATTTACCATATTATGTCTCATGATCTCAACATATACACCCCTCAAGCTGTGCTCCCTCATAGTCTGTTTTGCGATGATATATGAATCCGAAGCTTGAACCGTCGACTCACATATCTTAGAGCTGCTCATAATTCTTTTCTCCTCAGCGTACTTTTTCGTTTTCTTGTAACCATGGCTACATCTGTGTGTTTGTTATCTGATTCTTTAATGAGGTCCATTTTGATGAATTCACTCAAGTCCATAACTGGGCTCACGACAACGCTCGCTGTTTCCTCGAAAACTGTAATCTCATCTACTTCTGTCTGCTTATCTGAGGGCAGACTCCTAACTACGTTCAGCAACGCAATTGCTTCAAGAATTGGCAGAGACTCTGCAGAGCATCATGATTTGCACAAGCAACGTGTTAGTGGGTTCCTGTGCCTTTTATGTCAAGCCTGTGTAAGATCGATGAAGACGTTGTGATACCAATTTTTGTAGTTGTCACATTGTACACCTCCCTCGACCGAGGAAGAGCATACTGGTCTACCACAACGAGGTTTCACTTGAGCCATTAAAGTTGTCAAGCGATCTCCCAGAGAGAACAACAAAATGTCCCTTAATGAGCAAGAGGAATAAACAAGCAGAAAAACTAATCTTTAGAGTAAGTGCTTTTTAAGGCTTTAAAAGTGAGAGACACTGAACACAAAAGCTGAGATGTGTGTGCTACCGTAACTAAAAAATCCGACTTAAGTAAATACAAAAGCCTTTGAGATATTATCAATACTAAAAAGATTAACTCGACGAGGAAACAGTGAAATAAAACCTTGTTGGTCTTTGGCAACTATGGATTTCCAGGGTTTCTTAAGTTGAAAGTTTTGTTGGCGTACAATGAATAGGTCAACAAATGACAAAATTCTACGATATTTAGAAGAATTATTCATCATAGAACATTTTGAATGGTGCTAATCTAGGGACGCTTATTTCAGCGGTAATTTGAGAATAATGAAGGTGAGGCTATTCAGAATTAACTCGAATAACTCAGAAACTTTTCACAACTAGCATAAACTCTCATGGCATCAGTGAAAAATCATTCGAGCTGCAAAATTGTAGATCATCATATATAGCTGCTTTTGGGTAGTTCTTATGTTAGTTTTATTTTTACATATATTCAACAGTTTCAACCAATCAGTTGATATTTTTGATCGTCATGGTGAGAAGAAACTGGAAATACCTTTACCCGGGTAATTAAGCCGCCTTTTCTATTAGCTATAGAGAGGCTATTTCCATGTCCTGGGATGCTGATGGTGACAATCTTGCTATTATCGATGATAAAACATCTTCCGCTACGTTATGGGATTCTCTTTCTTTCAAAATAAGCCAAATTCATACTGGAGTGAGGTAAATGTTTCAGAATCTAGGGACATATCAGCAGAGATAACCTAACTGTTTTGTCTTGGTCTAAGTTAGGAAGTCGTCTAGCTATCGGGACAAGTAAAGGCAACCTTATCATATACAATCACAAGAATTTGAAGTGAGTTTTTCATGACCTGCTTATTGATAGAAAAACATCGCTTCTCGGAAAACATACCAGAAGAATAACATGTGCTGTGTGGAACAGAAACAACATTATAGCACTGGCAAGCGACGATAAAAGCATCACTATAAACTCTTCCGAAGGCGATTTAATTAAACACACCGTAATACATGATCAGCCTTTAGGTTTGGACTTTGGCCGGATGAAACTTGACGTTACCTCCGGAAGTGAAGACAATACAGTAAGTCAAGGTTTGACTCACATTAAGTCAGTAGTTTTATATTGATGAGTATGTCTTACATTATGATTGTGGCTGTTCATCTATCATGCTAAGCACAAAAACTAATGTAGTTAATTAATGCAGTTGAATCACACGCCTTCTCCACTGCTCATCACTTCGCTTCGCTCTCTGCTTTCGCTTCTCCAATCTTTTGTTTGGACCAGTGATTGTATGAAACATACGTATTCGAAATTCATTCTCGTATTTTATTTATTTAATTCCGTTATTCGCTAACGCAATTTAAGTTGGTAACTATATACGAGGATACACGATATGTATTCCAATAACAATCAGTCATACGACCTAATTGTAGTCAGATATAGGGCGACTTAAGCCTATGAGTGGGTTCATTTACAAGTTATATGAATGAAACGTTAACTGGGCTATCATCCATTCAGCAGGAGGACGATAAAGACGAACTTATCTGTGTTCTTTCTCTGAAGTCAAATAAACTTTTATGAAGAATTCTTTCAACCGACCACCTGGTGTGGTGTGTACTTTGATGAAAATCACTTTCACCACTATTTAAAGAAGTCACTTTAGACGTACAAGCAGTCTTCAAGATATGGAAGGCTTATTTTAACATTACTTTCATCCTTCGAGATTCTCAGTAGATATAAAAATAGCATTTATTATAGCAAGGACAAAGGCAGGTGAATTTTAGATTTTCCTAGCATAAAAACCTAAAAGCTCTGGTTGCAGACTTTCGTTTTTTATCTTAAATAAAACTTAGGGCTATCCATAAACCTGTTTATTGTTTGCAGTATGGCAAAAACATTACACTATCAATATAATGAATTAACTCTTCATAACAGTACCAATGGTTTAACTGTTTGTTCGTTACTGCTCACTTCTGTTTGTATAGGTTAGTTGCATCATTGGTAAGAAGAAATTATTTTTGCTAAATCTGAACAACATGGAAAATCCATTGGAGCTGGCATTTCGTCAGGCCTATGGTGATTTAATTGCATACCACTGGTTTGGTGATGGATACATTATGGTTGGATTTTCATGTGGTTACTTTGTTGTGATTTCCACACAGTCAAGTGAATTCGGAAAAGTAACACACCTTTTTCAAAAAACTAATGTAACAAATTGATGTTTATTTCTCTTTTTAAAGGAGATCTATCAAATTCGTGATCATAAAGATAGTTTACATGATATTTCAGTGTCTACGGTCTTAAATCGATGTGCAACTGTGGGAGATCGTTGGTAAGTTATGTGGATTTTTAAACATAAATTGTTTCGGAGTTACAGTACCCATAGATGATGCGCAATGCTAGATTCTGTCCTTGCCTAGTGTGATGTCACTTTTAGTAATTCAGACACTTCACTTTGTTCCTCAAGGCAATAAATACAACTAGTTAGAGTTTATACTCAACAGTTAACAGTCTTCAACCACAGTGCTACCAACCGATTTGCCGTTCGTCTTTACCTAAACCGTGAACATATTATTGTTTTTCATTTGTTTATCATCTCTCTACACATTTTACCCTCCTATGTTTTAACACATTTCCATTTTTGTCAAACTTCTTTTAACACACTACTACAAAGCATAATCATTTCAACTTATTCACTTTTGTACATGCCGCTTTATTGGTTTTCGGTATCTTTTGTCATGTTATCAACAAGCAACTTAATTTGGTGCTTTTTTACTAAATTAATGCGTCAATTTAAAAAATTCCTTGCCAAATTTTCTGTATACCCATCGAAGAGTAAATGTATATTTAGGCAGTAGTTTACTTTATGCTGCACTTCAATTGTTAGATATAACCATTAAAGCTAATGAGATATCTCTTAGTTAAATCTACTTGACAACATATGCCATTAAAACACTATGGAGGAAACACTAGGTGATCAGTTTTGAGATTAAATGTAAACGGTCTGGACGAAACTGATTCAGTTGGTCGGTTTGCGATACCTCAACTACTGGGATGTTTATTTATGGGGAGCCACAGCTTACTAAAGTGTATAGCACTGTCTAAAGTAAGATAAGACTCTAAGATACCTGAGGATGTGTGGCATTTACACTAAGTGGTGATTCCTTTGTGATTGAATACGCGCTTATCACGAATTTCAAATATCATGCGTCCAGTTGAGTTAGTCTAGTTCTACCTGTCTTTAATTGTACTGGTTTGGAAATTCTTAGTAAGCACATCACTTAGATTACTTGTAATTATCATAGAGTAATCAAAAAAATATATGACGTTCGCCCTAAAAGTTTATTATTGTTGATGCCAATCATGTAGATAGGTATAAAAACCCCGTAGATCTTCAAAATGCCACAAAAACAATGAATAAAGAGTTTAAATGATAAGTGGAAGTCATTTATCTAATGATTTTTCTATCCTTATTACTGTTAAATGTTAATTCTAGTCACCTTTATTAATTATTCGTTTAAATTGCTACGAAAACATGACAAATCAAGAAAAATATTCTTTATGTAAGATCTGATGTTGACAGATCTGTTTATTCATCTATTTTTTTTTTAACTTATTTATACATTAAACATGAACTCTTTGATACAGAAAAGATATGTTCTTATTTTTTAAAGCCATTTTCGAATTCAGACAGTGAAAAACGGAATTCAAAAGGATCATTATGATTGTTTTTATTGATTCAGCCTAAATAACTAGTACTTTGGTGTATATTAGTCATCTGTTTAAGAATATTAGGTGAATTTAATTAGGTATTTTAAAAACTACTATTAAGTGTTTGGTATATTTAAATTGCGACTAGCATTGGAATTGAGGACGAGTGGTTCACATAATGAGGGATCCGTCAACTGGATACATTTACATCTCAGTTATGATGTTCATAGTGGGACTCACATTTTCACTAATAACACTTAAAACATCATATCCATTCAACAAGGTAGTGGTGGTCTAGACTCTGCAGCTCAATGGATAACGTGCTGACATTTAAAGAGAAAGGTACTGAGTTTGATTTCAAATCTGAACATTAACAACGAAAGACAGGTACATCCAGCTAACAAATCCCAAATAGGATGAGACGAGATTCTTAAGCCCCATTGATCACTAAATTCGATCTATTCTGAAAAGGTCTGTTATGAAATTGCTATAATCGAAGCAGTCTACAAAGCACCCACATGTATCAATGAAAAACGATTAAAAATTCAGTCATAAATGTCAACCATAGTATAATTCAATTCCTTACGAATAATGATATAAGCGATCTACGATTTTTTTCTCTAATTTGTTTAGTGTCAAAATCCATGACCTTCAAAATATTCGTGAACTAACTGCAATTATTGAATTGGAGCAGCAAGAAGAAGAACTGAATAATTCAAATAATAACAACAATAATATGAGTACTGGAAGTATTGACAATAATCTATTGAAGTATCAGTTACAATGGTCAGATGATGGACAATTAATGGCTATTTGTACACCACAAAAACTTTTACATGTATTTTTAAGCCAATTACCATTGTTAGCTTCATTAGCTTCTCCAAATAGTACAAATCTATTGGCAAGATTGACTTCTTTGTTGGAGGTTACTGTGGAACCTATTCCAAATGCTAAGGTAATTACTATGTGTATAAGAACTTATTATTTATATGTTATATACTTTGAAAATTCAATTTGATTGGAATGAATAAGTTAACTGGTTCATGAATTCTACGTTCTTCAAGGAATTTGTGGTTTTTATTTCACTTATTTTCAGTTTTAAAAAGTTTGTATGAAGTCGCATGTACGTCAAATCTATTCCCTAACTCCTCTCTCATCTTTTTGCTTTTTGTACATTTATTTACTACTCAATATTAGTAAGTAGCTTAACTTACAACTAGTCATAACGTAAGATGTCGTCGTGCCTCACACACATTTTCTAATGCGTTGATACTTCCATTTCACTGTTTGGGTTTATATTTTTAATTTTTAAAAGTATTTACCCTAATTTCGTCTTCTCACGATATTTTGACTTGAATTACTCTGTTTACCTATAATGAACTACATAGTCTAGGAGCGTAGTACCTGGTTTATTTATATTAACTGCTGATAATCTCTTTATAGTAAGCAAACACTGTTTTATGATTTGTGCTAAACGGCGTAATATAAGTTTTGTTCACATACTTAAAGAATGTATTTTTCCATGCAAGTTCTAAAGAGTGTTACATTTCATGATAATCTATTTGAATAACTGAAATAACCCAGGTAGTTGCAAAATAAAGATTCTATTTTTACGAACAAAAAATTAGAAACATGGCTAAATCGTCAGTTTACAAAGTTTTGACATAAAATATATGTTACTGAAACAACAGACTATTCATTCGTAACTGCAAATTAAATATCTAAATAACCTAATCAATTGTTAAATATTCTAAGATAAAGTTTATGTACACAATGATTTATCCTACAGTACTTATTTGTATATATAATAAGATGATCAATCAATATAAGATGTTACATAATGTGACTTCTTGTTGTTACTATCTGGATTTGCTTGCATTTTATTTCTATAATAAAATCAGTTTCGTTTACAAGGTTCAATTCGTCTAAGTTGAACGCGATTCTAGTTAGGTTGTGAGTTCACACTGCGGAGTAGACCTCATATTTATCCACCTGAAGCCGGTTTATGACCTTTGAGCTTCAATTGCTTAAAAACAACAATTAGTTATGTTATACGGTTCACTTTTTCTGAAACTTAGCTAGCTATCCGAAAACAAGGAGTTCTATTGCCAAAGTGTGTATGAATATGTACAGAAGTTATATATTCACAGTTACATTTTTCACTTACTATATAACCTTTTGATCTGTTCAGGATTCCCCAGCATATCTTTTTACTCACTTGAAAAGTAAGTCTCTTTACTTGCGTCCACACGTTTTAACTAAGTTGGAAGGGGGGAGTTATCAAAATCTTATCCAGAATATGATAATATTCGCCACACGTTTCTCTAATTACCCATCAGTTACAAATTGTTATGCCCCGATACGCATAATGAATGGCAACTTTTGGGAGCCATTTATGGACCGATACTGTGTGTATATTTTTATCGTATAATTGTTAAATAACTGAACTATACATATTCATGTCCCTCTTATCATGAGTTTTATTTTGACCTATGAACTATTATTATACGACTTACCATTCTTGAATTAAACTCTGTCTATTAATTACTACCTCCCTCATTCACAGCCACATTTGGCTGATTCTTGTACAAATGTTGTTTCATATTTTATGGTACGGTGTGGTCTATTTGATTTGTATATAAACCCCGTATGTTTGAAATAAATTATTCATATTGCAGAAGCTGAGATTGGTGTTCTGAATGTAAGTGGCTGGACTAGGCAGGAAGCACGACCAATCAGGGCTCTAGGCTGCTCGTACAGGATTTACGCGTCATTGATCCGGTCGGTAATTCACTGCTCTCTGATTGGCGGTATCATTACGTATACATTAACATGACACACAGACCACAAGTTATAACACAAATAAGGCTAGAATAAATATGGTTTGCAAATGGTTAGATATATAATAATACAAAGACAACTGGGAAGGTAATTATTTGTAAGTAAAGGACGATAAATTTTTTTAGAAAATATGGATAAGAAGAATAATTTCAAGCTTAGGTTATTCAACATTTGTACAATCCAGTATTCGGTATGATCCTTTTAAAGGTGTGGAACATAAAATGAAATTATTTACACAAGCTGATAATATTAAGCATGTTTGGTTGAAAACATGAGTCTGAAATGAGTTAAGGGTTGGTAATTATTAGTGTTATGTAATGAAATGATAATGAATTTAATGATTAATTGTTTTCTATCAAACTACGTAATAAAAACTTATTAACTAAAAGGAAAATTTGCATTACCTATTCAAGTGGAAATCATCCAAGTATATTTATAAAGAAATAGAAAGAGTGCAACTAATTGATCATTAAATGATGATATACTTTACGCTCAATGATACAAAATCATAATAAACTAACCAACATAATATTAGCATAAAACAAGAATGAAAGTTGACAAATTTCTAACTTACTAATCAAATGTTGATATTGTCAAGATCGAATTAAACAGATCTCAATCAGAATGTCTTACTAGAATAGATCAAAGTAGATTAGTTTGAAATATGATTCTTCACATAACTTGATTGTACATAAGTAACTATTTTATCAATAGGTCATAACATTTTTTTTATATTACTCGTTATCGATATTCTATCCTTATACTTTCAGCAAATAGCTGACTTACCTGAACTATATCGTTCATCGTATTTATTAAAAATTGAAACGGAACCAACGTTTATTGGTCTTGGACAAAAATATCTATCTGTAGGGATAAATAATCATGCTTGGTTTTATGAATTGACCAAATCAGGTATGTGTACTTTTTCGTACATACATTTTTAAAATTTTTATTCATTAATTCATTTTAACATGCTTGACTATATTTGGGGTATTAATATGTAGACCAATAAAAAAGAACATAATTTCATCTATGGTATTATTTCATCTAATTCGTTTTTTCCACAAAATTAAACAAAACAAGAATAGTTTTCGCAGATTAGTACTTGGATTGATTGATCACTAAATAGTGACGAATGTCATGTTTTCCAAGCCAATGACGCTGATCGGATTCTATCGATCAAGTCTTAATCTGTCCATTATTCGCAGTGACTCAACATCACTTGCATATAGTTTCGGTGTTAGGTGGCTGAATGTACTCGGCAAAATACACTGAATCTAGATCTCGAACTAGTTGACATTCATCAGTAAGCTATGCCTTCGGCCTTATGGGAATTGATACTTCTAATGAGATTCAAACCAGCTAGATGAAACAGACGACATGGGGCTAGGTATATCTATTCGAACAGACTGAGGCTGAGTGACCTGGGTTCGAATAACCAGCAATCATTATTGTTCTAGAGGTATGCTTTGCTGATGAGTACCAAGTGATGCAAAATTTAGGTTCAAGGTTTCTTGTCAAGTACTTCTAACCACCTAAAATTGACAGATATGTATTTGGAAAAAGTAGCTAGAATCGAACAAATGAAAATATAACGTCAATCCCTCAAGTAATTGACTATTGAACTGGTTTGTACACACGAGGTACAAACTCGATCAGGATTCATGCGATAATTGTAATATGTAACTGGATCCGTTAAGGTGATTATTCGTAAACTAATGAGATGAATTAGTATTAAATGAAGCGGTTATATGGTTAGTATTATATCTTTTGTGAATATTTATGTGTTAGTTATTAGCCATCATAATCTTTGTCACTCAATAACTTAATCAACAGAAATCGTGCTAATATCGGAATATGATTATTTGACTACTGTGGATCGAATAAGCTTGAATGAAAATTATGCTGCAGCTTGTGGACCAGATGGAAAACTTACATTACACTGGGTGAGTATAAATTTAAAAAAAGATTATTATACTTACTGATTGTTCAATATGTTTATTTGTTCAAGAACTCTGTAAAATGTAGATGAAAATGCTATTGAAGATAAATGTGACCAGCAAAGTTTTTAATCTGTCAGTCTGATTGACATAAATGTATGCTGATTAGTCTTAAATAACTCTTTAGGAATTCAGTACAGCTAACTACCTGATACAGCTGTCTTGAGCTATCCTTTCCCATCATCCTCTTCTCTCTGTATAGCTCTTCAACCCAATTTGTCGGATTTTAAAGTATTGACAAATAATACATACATATATTTTAAAACACCATCCGGAGTACGTGTATAGGTGCAAAGATAAACACTTTCATAAGAATCACTTAGAAAACGGGTAATAAATACAAAGCTAATAAACGGAAGAATTCCATTGTTTTCTGAAAACTTTGATTTCTTCTATAGAATTTAAGAACTGATTGCATCTCAAAGTGATTCAAGACTTAGGATTTCGGTGTAGACAAGATATACATCTGCCAACAGAATAACGATTTCAATTATCAATAGTTCTCTTCTTTCTACTTTATAGGTATGAAGCATATTCATTAAGAATAAAGGATATTCGTACGTTACTAGTACTGGATTACAGAAGTTTCCGAATCCTCACTCGTGTGTTTCAATACCATCAAATGAGAGATTCCGTGGCCAGGCATAGGATACTAGGTAAATATAGCAAATCGGTTGACGAGGTGGCAAATCTTCCTCAACTTGGCCTATTGACTACTTCGACGAGTGATGTCTGATTTAGTAGTATACTGAAGAAAAGCTTTGGACGATCAAACGAAGATGTGGCATCAGTTTACGAAGATATTGACGACCGGACTGAGCCGTGCTAATAGATGTAGACTACCTGATCAGGGCCCATTTTAGTTATCATAACTAATTGTTAGAGGTTCATTCATTCCTTTCTCTAGAATATGAGTCTTGAAATCTCCCTACAGCTTTCATTTCTAAATTTAAACTTTTATACTATTATTGTTGCAACTACTACTATTACTACTAATAACACTAGTACCATGGAATTTGCCTTAGAACAAATTCATATCGCTTTACTAATTTCGTATGGCAATATAAACCGATGTACATGCGTCAGGCTGTACATTTTATATTACTGGCAGACTAACTTTCTTTACAGAAATTTACAAATTTTCAGCGTAGAACATATGAGTGTTATGTAATCTTCGATGAAACGATCATAATCATAATTCGATTGTCTTCTACAAACTAAATCCCACCATACAACCTCTCAACGCACTATAGACCTAAATAGAAACATTGGCCACTACTTAAAACTGAAGACACAGTTGATGTGTAGTACCAAATTAACATAACTTTTCAACGAATCCATGTATTCATACACTATGCTTACAGGGCTTATGACTGTTATAATTAGTACATTTCATCAATACTACTGTATTGTAAAATAATATCACATCTGATCATACATTTTATATTCATTTTGTGCTTCACATTATTACTGATCTTGTCATAAATGTTCAGTCTAAACAACCTAAGGAATAATAAATTTTCAGATGTTACACCCTTATTTTTGTCAAAATGTTCTTTCTTCTCCTTCTACGTGAATATGATCATTGTAGTAAATCGGTCTGCATTCTGTAATCATTTATAACGTACCTTATTAATGCTATAATTATTATTTCATTATTCGTTAGATAAATACCAAAACTTTTCCTGACAAATCAGATATGGCAAAAAGTCAAAATAAATTAAACAAAACTTTACGAAATGATGATACCAACCATTTATCACGTGAATCTTGTATATTTCCACAGTCAACTTCATTTGATTTAAAGATTACATCGTTTAAATTAACTAATGATTTTCTAATTTATTCAACAAATGTAAGTAATTTCAAGTAATTTCATATATATACGTATATATATTGAAATCTGAAAATGATCCAATGTACAAGCATTCAGTTCATACATGATCGTGAATGTACACTGCTAATAGTTTGATAGCTTTGCAGTATCTATTCAATTCATGTCTACTCTAAATGAAACTTACGATTAAATAACTTATAGAGTTAATTTGGAGTTTGAAATCCTACATTTTATGAGTGTATACGTGATGATAAAGAGCTGATTAGCTTCTATTAGTAGTAATTAATGACCGCTTCTTGGGTTTGTTGGATTTCGCAGTAAACATATTACTAAATTGATAGTTTAAATCCTAATAGTTGAAACTTGCCTATAGTATAAAGCTATGAAAAGCTATGGAAAACCAGGAAATCTGGGATAGTTATTTGTTTTTAGTATGAAGTTCTATAGCATTAAATCTCCATGATGCCACCAGGAATCGAATCAAAGGTTTTCAAGCCACTCGATGGTCATCACAACCCCAAACTACTGAGTTGATATCTAATGATTTAAACTCCTAACCTCAGTTAACTCTCCCTATTGGCTACCATGATTATTTACTATTGGTAATATTTATCCCATATCTGATTTGGTTGAACCCCACTGGTTGCGGTTTCTTATTAAAGGACATTAAGACTCTTGTTCAAATTGATACAAAGTATATCTATAAACAACTAAATGCGTTCCAAAGTATTTTTTATACGTGAGTGGAATGGCATAAGAATACGTAAAACTTATCAAGGATTCTGACTTCTTGATGGTAAATGACTACACCTTTAGAAACGAGGAAGGGATTAACGACGAGTTTTCATACAACAAAGTGTGTAAGTCAATTCGCTATTCGAAATATGGAATTATAATGAAGTAACCAACAGAACATACTCATGTTCTACAGGAAGCCAGGGTGTAAGCACAAAAGCAATCAGTATCAAAACGTCGAGCTGCTCCTTCAACATAGCCAAGGAATCTGCCAGTCTGACTCCAGATCAACTTCGAGATATAGTTTGAGTAATGATGTAAAAGTGAAGCAGTCTAAATGAATTGAAAGTCGAACAATTTATTATAGAGGTCCAGCAATGGCATACAAAAATGTACAAGGGAGTAAGATTATTCACTAAACTAGTTGTAAATATTGGAGTAGATCAATACTAGACGATTCACGTGAAATAAAACGTAATTTGAACCTGGGAACTTGAACATACTCAAATGTCTTTTTAGAAATTTACAGATGTAAATAACATTCATAACTACACTAAACGATTAAATCACTATTTGAGTGCTCGCTCTTAAGCAAGTCGCCCTTACTAAAAGTTGCCTGAATTTATGTGCTCTCTTTGGCATGCGCCCTCACTGAATGATACCAATCATAACTCTGTGTTCAAGAGGATATATTACAAAAATCCCAGTTAATAGTAGTAACTGCTTTGAATTCTCAATACATGTTTGTATTAGTTTCTATGAAGTTTTAATTAAATGATGTTATTGTCGAATTCAAGCAATGATATAAAAGAGTGGACAGTTTTCTCACTGTATATTGGATAATTTGTTTCTGGTTAGCGTTTTTAGCGTTTTAGTTTTTTACGGGATGGGGCAGCCAACCCTATGCCCAACCCTCCTCCTTTATCCGGGCCCGGGACCGGCAGTAGCCCCCGGAAGGGCTCCATGCGGAGTTCTCATTGTATATTACACTTCTTATTACATTTCTTAAAAGAAGACTCCCTGCACATATTACACTTCATTAATTTTCGTTCTTTTCTCAACATAAAACTCATGAATTTAGTTCTGTTACTCTTACAGCATGGGGAAATATTTCATTTCAATATTTCGAATTGGAATTATGCGAATAATTATCAACATAATTGTTCGATACTTCATATTTTTCCTAATGCAATTGGAACACGTGTAGCATTTGTCGATGAGAAAGGTTTGGCTTTTATTTATAATCCAGTAAGTTACTTTTGTATTTTGGCAGTAAATTAAGGAATCTAAATTGTTGAAAGAGGGTTCTATTGCATGTTTTCGGGATTATTAATACTCAATTTTCTACTGATTTCAAGACGAAACTCCATTCGCTGGTCATAAGTTACCTTCAGTTTTAATAGTAAGGGTTTGTACCTTCTTTTTGTTGATGTTAATGACTGAAAATGATCTGTCTTCACAGGCAATATAGGGCATCCTGAACTAATTACCTTGATATTTCCGTTTAATCAGGAAGTTTTATTAGACATTTTTTTAAATTAACGTCAACAATGAAAAAATACCAATCCCCATAAATAGAAATCATAAAGAATGCATAACGTGTTAGTTTTTGAACAAAATGGTAGTGGATTTAATTCTCAGTTTGATCACCTTTACTTTGTCTTTTTATCTAAAATTACTGCATTTTTTGCATCGGATGACTAGCCAACGGTTAGTAATGATTAAAATCAGACCTGGATATGTACTGCTGAGAAGTCTCATATTATGGTGTCCAGTACTTTGAGATTTTCAATGGTAGTCTAACTTAGATGGGTTCACGATTTCAGTGAAATTCAACAATCTCCACAATTCTATACTGAAAATACAAAATGATGATACTCAATAATAATATCAGTATTGAATAGACAAAGTTATAGATAGAATTGTATAATCTTTCTATACAAGTCCAAGATTGCTAATCTGTTAAATGCTGTTACTTTCTATCTGAAAAATGTATATTACTTTCAGAACCAAAATATGTAGATAATTTCAAATGAATTTCCGGAAACTTGGTTTTATCAGAATTGATTACATATTTGATTTACTATATCTTCTCAATAACTAGATTAAATAATCCTTATTATAAGCACTTAAAATGAGTATATTACTGTAATCGAAGCAATGAGATTAGTAACAGCCAGTTGACTTACTGACATATATTGAATTTATCATAAGTGTTAGCTTTTCCTAGTTTCTTCATGAGTCACTTCCCAACTAAAGAAAAGTTAAAAAGAAGGAAGTCTTTTAGAAGCGAGTTCTCATTCCCTGTTCTCAAATTCTTTTCTTTATAACTCACAAACTATTATTATTATTAATTTTATTATTAGGTATTACGTCTTGATTCACTTGTAAGAACTAATAATTATATGTACAACTTCACACAGTGATTTTTTAAAAAGAAGCACAATGTCTTAGATGGAGTTTTGTTCTCTCAGCTGGATGGTTTGGTCGTGGAGCTTTCATCATTCTTCCGAACGACAGCTTTAGCACAAACTTTGAGTAGAAGCGAAGTACTCACGATTAGGCACAAAAACTATAATTGGAGAAGAAAGAATGAGTTAGTGAATTATAAAGCGCGAAAACAATTTCATAACTCAGAATATAACTGAAGACAAAGAATGAATACATCTATGTTATTGAGACTGATTTTGAACCATGTTTTACAACATTTTGAACTACACGTTTATGATAATACCACAGACTACAATCAGCTAGTGTGCCTATAAGTCATGACAGATGTGTATAACTTCATGGACAAATTCTTTTTAGTGGTTAAAATACCCTCAGCTTTCCTTACTCTACTTGAACATCAGTCAATATCACAGGTTAACAGTAGCACGCTATCATTTTTAATTATAATTGGTTATATGTTCTATATTTTCGTTTCTATCTGATGATTCGTTTACATTTGATAATGAAAAAGCTGATCTTTTTATAGCAGATTACTCCCCTATGATATAAACACTTAATTCTAATCTATTCATTCTTTTATTTTAATCAAGGCTAATAGTCAACTCATAGAAATTCCAGAATTTTGCCCCTCAATAAATAATATTTTATGGGATTTAGAAGATACAGAGAATGTAAGTTACCAGTCGATATTTTTTAAAAGTTACCAATATTATTTTATAGAATTACACTTACTTACACAACTCTCTACCATTAGAATAAAGATTAAAATATTACTGAGGCATGTTCAATTTAGGAATAAATTATTTGTAGACACATAAAGAGAACACATTGATGAGTCCATCATTGACAGCTTATCCATAACTCATTTAAAGTGGTATTCTAATTTATAGGTTATATTCATCACAGATTGATCTCATTTGAGGTACTATTAAAAACCAGATAGTCCAACAGTAGGATGAAACAACCGTCCAGTGTTTTCGGGTTTTCCATTTTGGTCTAGCTTCAATTGACTCATGGTCTTAACTAATAGAATTTTATATTCAATAATCTCAGTAATTTAAGAATTACATACCATTAATGTTTCACCTAACAATCTGATCCAAGCTTCTTCAAGGAAATAAAATATAAGTTACATTTTATGATAACTAAGACTTTGGCAATCCTTTTGAATCCATGATAATTTCTTAAAGAGACTAAAAAATGGTTCAGACAACTGTTAATAATAATAAGTTGGTGATTTCACATTTTTCCTCTACCTAAATGCATCATTTCATGACATTAGTTTTTATTCGCAAAGTAACACTTTATTTATTTTTAGTATAACCTTTAACATTGGTATCAATATTAAACTATATATTTTATTTAGTATAATATTGAACAAAGACGAATGGTGGCTAGTAGTGCGATCCAGGACACGCGTTCCATCCCATTTGAGATTCGTCATCAATATTCCAGGTACAATCTGTTAATGAGCGCCAAATAGCATGAATCCTAGGTTCTGGATTTCCTATTGATTACCTCCAGTCAACCAGCATAATATACTATCTTTATCTCTCTATCCTCTTGTATATGGAACCGTCACTGTTCATATATCTGACCTTTTATTTATTTATTTTTTTTCAAGAAGTCCGTATATGATATGATTTTCGTTAAAAATAATTGAGCTGAACACACTACACACTCTTTCAATACTTTCTAAAGAATAGAAATATCATGCTTTTTCTAATTTATTCGACTTAGAATTACAATTGAAAGTTTACGATATTAATTTTTTTCTTTTTTTGAATACCCAAGTGAAATTCAAACCTTTTTTCATGATGTTTACTTTACAATTCAGTACATTTACAATACTATAATAGTTTAGTTTTAAAACTAGAGTGTTTAAATTAAGATTTAAACCGTTCTGAGACTCCACTTTACATGTTATTTACCCACAAAATGAAATACTTGCTGGTACTTTAGTTATCTCAGGAAATGTTATAGTCAGTATTAATAATGACTGAATGCGATCGTCACATCATATCACAAATTAACTGAACTTGGTAATGGAAACTATAGGATTTCAACCGCTTTGTCCAAATATGTTTTTCTTATTGCGTACTTACGTACTTCTGTTACTCCTCGTGGAGAGGCATAGGTCGTTCACCAACATTCTCCATCCAACCATGTTCGAGGCAATCCTTTCCAGTTGCTATCCATCCTTTGGTGTATGCATCCAATTCTCGATGCAATGTGTTGTTTGTTCCTTCTCTTTACCGTCTCCCTTCAGGATTCCAAGTCAGTTTGATGATTTCCTAATTATGCGTCCTGTCCACTTCCAGTGTCTTTTCCTAATTTCCTCTTCAACTAAAAGTTGGTTTGTTCTCTCCCACAATAGGCTGTTGCTGATAGTTTCCGACTACACACGCTGACTAAAATTTTCTACATTAAAAAGAAATTATTTTCACGGATCTCTTGTTTTCAGTGATTTTTCAGGTAGCTGAATACTATAATTAAATTGTTAATTGACAGATATCAATAGTTTCTTTATTCACGGAATATTGATTTTTACTTTGTATTTAGCCTTTGTTAATTGCTTACGACAATTTACGAATCAATGTTTATCGTTACTTTATGAATGAATGTATACTAAATAACTTATCAGTAGTAGCATCATCAAGAAAAGTTGATGATATGTTGAAGATGCCGACAAAGCAAATTACTGATAAAATTCAAAACGATTCCATTCTCATTACAAATCGTAATAAAAATATAAATAATGATGCAAGTAGAAGTAACAGTGTAACATCAACTAAATTTAGTAATGATAAAGCTGATTCTAACAAATTGGCTACTGGAGCAATATGTAAGTTTTTATTTTAAGTAAATTCGCCCTTTTTTTCACTTAAGAAATACTAATATTTATGTTAATTTATTATTAAAAAAGAGTATATTTCTTCTTGATAACATTGTCTTCAAGTTCAGTCAGTCATAAGCAAATTATGAACTGAGATAAACGTACATCGATTCAAATTACCACATTATATCAACACTGAGAGATGAAATTATCTTCACAAAGGTCCGAGTACTATAATTATTAATATTATCTATGATGGTTGTGTGTCTCTCAGTGACCACCGCTGTCAATCAGTTAGTCACTTAGTCATAAGCAACGTAGAGCCTGGCAAATATGTGTATCAGCTGAAGTTCACACGCTACATCAGAACAGTGAGATACCGGAGTAATAGAAGCAGAAGTAGTATTGGTGGGTGTGCAAATAATTAGGCATAGATATTATGCATACATAATAAAGTGACGTAATAAAAAGTATAAAGTGCTTTTAAAATCCAAGACCAAATAGAAGATAAAGATTGACTACTTCTGCATTGAACTAACTGATTCTGAGCTATATCACCTAAAATAGCCAACCACTAATCAAAAATATCATGCAGATACCAACCAGTTAGTTTGAACGTACCAACATGACTGACATCAAAAGTCAATGGCTTCATGGACTAATCCCAAATTTACAGATTGAATACCTGTAAATAAATTGTTATATGTAGAGCTTAGTTTCTTATTATACCGCGTACAACTAGAGCACTCGAACGCTAGAATCCTCCAAGTCGCAAATGACAAAACAGAAGACAAGTGAAAGGAATGCTATTCCAAAACAGTGTCAATTATGGTACAGAACTGTCAGGTATTTATAGTTTTTAGTAAAAACAAAATAATTATATTCCTCCAATCCACATACAGGGGGTTATCAGCATTTGTCCAGTAGGGAAGCTACACGCAGGGATTCTGGAATATTCTTCCATAGGATGATTGGATAGAATATCTTCGGCTCTTTCTGAGCTTCTTAGAGCTTCTTCGAGTTCACCCATGGACCGTCCTCACATAAATAAACATTGTAATGTAACAGCTTTATATGTTTGTCAAATATAAACACGTATACATGTATGTATATAAATTTTTTGATTAAATCAGTTTAGTGGTTGCTTTCATAGTAGTTTCAAGAAAACATTTCAAATAAAAACCTTGTTGTCAGCATAACTGAGTGATTTTTACATCGTTATAATTAGTAGTGAATTAAAATATTGTGAATATCATACAAGATAGAATTAATGTTCTATTCCATTCATTATTTCATAAAGAACAATAATAATATCATAGGAATTTAGAAAAAAATGAATACGCACGATTACGAATTGCTTGTTTATCCAAAGCAATCCTGACAATTGTAAACAAAAAAAGAAAGTGAGGATTGTAAGTAGGTAACTGTTGTGTCTTTAAGTTCGACTTTTTATCATGTGATTTATCCACCAATCGAAATATGACTTATACGATCTCAGTACTGTGCCAAACCAATGACGTTCGACCGGTGTGTACAGCCTAGTGTCCTTATTAGTCCTTTGCTCACCTAGCCCGTCCAGTTGAGTCAAGAACACCAATAGCAGCTTCCATTATGCGAATCATTTATTTCAAACATAATTGGTTTATATATCAGCCAAATAGACCGCATCACTCCATAAAATAGGAAATAACATTTATACAAAATCAAGCCAAAAAGTGACTGTGAACGTGGGAGACTGCAGTTAATAAATTGAACATAATTTAGGAACAGTAAATTGTATCATAATAATCTATAGGTCAAAATGAAGCTTATTATAAGATGAATATAAATATACATAATCTAGTTACTGAACAGAGTTATACAATAGGAATATTGATATAATATTAGCCCATTAATAGTTCTCAGTTCTCTTCGCTAGGATATAACAGTAACTATAAAATATATGCCGATATGACTAGTACGATAATGAATTATGAATCAAGTTCACTACATTTTATGCTTATATCAGAATTGAATTCGTTCATATTGTTTTAACTAGTGATCATTGAAAACAAAATCATGTAAGTTTAAATAGTCTACTTTTACTGAATTTATTTCATTGTGCAACATATTCATTTAAAATTAAGTGGTTTGATCCAAGTTACCATGTACAAAATTAGCATGATGAATAGCAAAAGAGTTTGAAATAATATAATAGCAATGACAAAGAAAAAGAGTCTATGGTTTCAAAAAACAGTTTGAAAAGGTAAGTATGGAGATATTCTTTAGTTTTCAGATTGAAAGAGAGATAAAGTGTGAATTAAATCCTAACCACCATAAAAGATACTGATACATATTACCTAATATCCGTAACCATTGATTGAAACTATCCACCAAAACGACTCAGACCAGCAGTCAATGACTTCACGTTTATTATAGAAACTGTGGTTATGATAATTGTAAACCCATATTGTCATATAGTTTGATAATGACTACAAATATCACTTCAAAAAATGCATTTCCCAAAATTACATCTAACTAATTAACTTGTAAGAATCTATAATGATATCCATCACAGAGTTATTAGTTATGAAGTGTATTATAATCTGTTTTACAATGCATAAAAAATATTTCTTCTCAAAACATATAGAATACTTAATTGATTTCATCATTTTCTTTAACTTTTTGTTTTGTTTTGTTTTGTTCTATTCAAGTTGGAAATTGTCATTTCATTGGAGTTACACGTCTACCGAACAATCATCTACCATTGTGCAATATAAATGGTGAATTATGCATGCTTAGTCCAACTGGACGCTTATTAACTCAATTACTAACAACTCATCAATTTCGATCATATAGTAAATAAATAATTAATTAATTAATTAATATTTCATTTTAATTAGCTAAAAGAAAAGGATTAAATATTGATGAAAAACATTTCGAATTTACCGGAATAAAAAAGTTATCCTATCATGATGTATGTTACTTTAAAAGCTATTTCATAATCAATCTATTAATATTACTGATGTTTTATTCAAATTTCGTAAATGTATTTCCCTGTAATCTCAGACAAACAATAATAAAGATTAAATTCACTTGGTATTGTTTGTTTGAATCTTCCCATTGTTGATATAGGACTGCAATTGACCAGTCTGTTATTGGCATATGTGCATCCTATGTGGATCGCCTTGATATAGCCTTGATTTACAAGCATTATATGCGAAGATGGATAGTGACTAGCAGTGGAATCCAGAACGCGCGTTTCATTCTGTTTGGAACTCGTCAGCTGGATGTACCTGCATCTCAGAGTTGATGTCCACTCTGGGACTAGAACTCAGTACCGTGGATAATGCGATGGCATTTGAAGCAAACGGTATTGGTTTCGTGCCTTAAAGTGAACATCAACTCTAGGATGCAGGTACATCCAGCTAACGAGTTCCAAACAGGACGAAAAGCGCGTACTGGATTCCTCTGCTAGCCACTACCCATCTTTGCATATAATAAGAAAGATTGTTGGATAAAAGAAGTTCACTCCATTTTATAATCTCTGTACTTTCCATACCCTTACTAAGTTTACAAATTTATTACAAGTTTACAAGAAGTATTTATGAAGAAACTGTTTAGTAGTATGAACAATCAAAAATATTTATCGAAACCACATAAATAAGTGAATAAAGTTATGATGTAACCAACTGTACAGACATATTTTGGGGAAGTGATAATTTTAGGTGATATGAAAATCTGATGATGTGTGGATTTAAGTAGTTATACTGGCAAAGCTAACAACTTTTAAATGGTGATCAGAAGAATAAACTTGAACTTACAATGGCAAGTGTTGAATTTCTTGATTTGTAGAGATTATTTCGAATTGAAGATACTTTTTGTCACAGACTAAAGAAGACAGAAACTCATTGAAAACTACAGGGCATTAGGCACTTAATTCTTCTAGGTTTAGAAATCTTCTTTAATGGTTATTCATGATAATTCATTGAATTTAACCTGCTACCTACAATTTTTGTAACAATTGCGTTTTCGGTAAGTCACGAAGTCATGGTACATCTATCCATATTTCTAGCTTCGGTTACTTTTCGATACGTGTGCTATAATAAAAAGTGGTGCCAGTAATAATAATATTTTGCGAAATAAAACACATTTTCACCCTATTTCAATTTAGATGGTTACCTACTTTGAACAAGCTTTAAAATGTGGCTGCTTTGAAGATGCCGAAATATTTGCTAATCATCTGGATTCACAACAAATATGGAGTCAATTGGGTATGAGTTGTTTACGTGTTATGAATTTTGACCTAGGTAAGTATAAGATACTAAAAACACACTGACGGTGTTTCTTATTAAGTTTAATTACGTAACTTCCTCACTCAATAATACCTAATTTCGAGAGGTAATTTCTGGAGCGGTAACCAGTGGGATTAAAACATGTTGTGGGATGTGACATATATCATTATTTGAAACGTACGGTAGTCGTCTACTGTAGCTAGTTTCTGAATATAGAAACGTAGACTATTGGATAAGAACAGAGTGATCCGAAGACTGTACTCTCAGCGATGCCCGAAGTTCCTGAGTTCTGTCTTTAAGAAGGCCTTGTGTATACGCAGATAAGGTGCCTCATCTAGAACGAAGTAGATTCGCATTATTTCATGATTTTCAATCGTTGTTTGGCTAAAACCGGCCTGTGATGTAAACTGTTCACTCTTCTTGTCATTGTACACCTTAAAAGGCTTTCATTCAATGGCTATTATCTATTACCTTGAGTTTTTTCCACCCAAAGTAGTTAAGTGTCCCTCTATATCTTTGGCTTCTAAAATGTCCGTATATCCTATCATTGACTTCAGTCAATCATTAAAAGACTTTCGACTCGACACAAATCGTTTTATGGTGTAGGAGTAGGCTAGAAGAAAGCTAGGGGCAGCCAGACCAAAACATGGCACAAATTATTAAAGTCACTGACAAGTGGACTGAGTCATGTTGGTAGGTGTAGACTACCTGGTTGGGGACCGCGAGATGATAGCAACCGATCGTTAGAGACCTTGAATGACATGGCTCAAAATCGTTCGCAATGGCGCAGGTGAATTCGCTCTTTGTGTTCTTTCAAATTCTAATCTTCTGAATTCTCTGTCTTTTGTTTCTGTTTCCAAACTTATTTCACTAAATTATACTCGTTGAATAACATCTTCAAACTCTAATCTTTCCGATTACTGCTTATACTCTCACTACCTCTAATACTACGGGATTTGGATCGACAACTGCATCTCTGTTCTAATGTGGTATGGCAACTCAAACTGATGTACATACGTACGAAGTTTTACGTTGTTACTGACTGACTGACTGTTATTATTTCACGTTGTCACACATTACACCTACCTGTGAATCTCAAATACCAGTTTATACTATATGTTTTGTTTTAGTTCTACTATTTATATTACCATTTTCTCTTTTCTGTTTTTTCAACACAATAAAAGTAATCCGACACATATTATAATAAAATGATAATAGCCCGCATGTATTTGTCACCTAGTAGTGTCAAAAATGTATTTGATTAACTCTTAGTCCTAATTAAATCAGGTACCTACTAGTCTAAATAACAATATCGCTTGTACTTTTTTACGTTACGCGGTTCCCGGAGATTGTCATGAAACCTTCGATCTAGGCTTCATCCTAGCTGACTTGCATTAGTAAACCTTACCTGATATCTTGAGAGAACTGGTGGTCTCTGTGGGAGTCTATCTCGTATCACCTAGTGTTACAATCTGAAAAGTTACCACTAAGCTATTCAAACCCCTATATGGTTTTCTATCAAATAATTAGCAATAACATGATACAATGTTAACTCTCATTCGGCTATCATTACTCAGTAGCTAAGTGGATAATGCGATGCCGCTTGAAGCGGATGATACTGGGTTCGAGCCCCAGGGTGGACATCAACTCTGAGGTGCATGTACATGCAGCTGACGAATCCCAAATAGGAAGAAATGCGCGTTCTAGATTCCACTGCTAGCCACTATCCACCTCTGCATATAATGCTTGTGAATTAAGGCTAAATCGAGGCAACACGCACAGTATGCATATATGCCAACAACCGGATGAAACTTACAGTTATTGATAAAACTATATCAATCTTTTAAATAATGCCCCATTTTTAAAACCTAATTTCTTTCATTAAAAATCTATCTTTTGATACATCGTCAAAGGTTAGAAAAAAATACATCAGATTATTTATGTGACTTGGTTACTTATAAACGTTTGAATAACTGGGGAAAATGATTTTCATCATAAGATAACATTATCTAAGAAAGTTGTTGGTTGTCTGCTTAATTCTAGTTTACAATTTTGTAGCCTGCTTAACGATGACTATTCAAACCCACTACCTAGTAAATAACGCGCTAACTACTGAAGTGCTGAGTATTGTGTTTAAGTTTCCATAACGAAATATCCAGCTTCATATACATCCAACTATTAAGTCCCAAACTGAATGAGACGTGCGTCTTGAACTCCCCTGCTAATTACTATCCAATGATTTCTTATGCAAATAAAGTCCACATTTCACGTTTTAAATCAATCAATTTTGCTCACTTCCTTAAATGTCTATAATGTTATTTCGTTTTAATCTCCATTTTGTAATAATTTAGCAATCAGGTGTTTTCGATCAATTCAAGATCCTGGTCTTATTCTAGCTGTACAACGAATTCAAAAGATTGAAGATCGTTGTTTACTTGCTGGCTATATTGCAATGATTTTAAAAGAATTTGATAAAGCACAAGAATTATTTTTAATCTCATCGGAACCAATTGCGGCATTAGAAGTATGTGTATTGAACTTAAGTTTTATACAAAGCTTTTCTTTTCCCTAAATTTGAATTAAGTAGGAATAAAGATCGTAGAGAAATAGTATAAATAGCTTATTCTGTTGACCTGAAATTCGATTAATTGTTATTTACAATTATGTAACCAAACCAATTCAATACAAATCCAAAAATAATTTAAAGGTAACAAAATCCCACTACTGAAGAGTCATGAAAAATTGAACGAAACAGTCATTTAATACCCTCTATCTTTGAATGATCTTATGTGGTATAAAAACTAACTCTATAGTACACTTGATCAAATATTTGAGTAATTTCCTAGCAACATATCCAACATATCAGTTATAAACTCCAATACATTAAGAACAACGATTTTAGCAGAAAAACATATAGGTTCTCTTTTCATTTCATCAATCCTCGCAGATAATTATAGACTTAACTTACGGAAGTAAATAACGGAAGTAAATAAATCAAATACGAGATCGGATTTTTGAATACATATATTTTGCACACTCATTGATCTGGACAAACAGTCAGAGGGACGAAGCGAAGAGAGGAGACCGAAGCAGTGCAGTGGAGAAGGCAAATGAGCCAACTAGATTTAATCATGCGTTAATCGATATTCATAGTCACACAAAAATAAGCTACAGACATGTGATAAGTAGGATAGGAATTGTACACTTATACGCTTACATAAAAATAATCAAGGTTGACAAGCGAATAATTAACAAGGTCAAAATGTAGCTTGAGGAGAATAGATAAGTTGGTTTGTCCAAAAGTTAGAATAAGCTATGTGTGTTCAACATAGGACCAGCCATCACAAACTTCACAAAAATCATTTGTCTGAGTTACAAATGTTCATCTCAAAATCCTAATGCCATGTTTATCAAGGTTTACACATCCATGCTTTCTAGAAATTAAAAAAACATATTTACTCACTTTAAATTGTTGATTACTTAACAGTAGATTCTAAATTGTGTAATTTAAAGTGGATTATTTAACGAAAAGCAGTAGTTATGAATAGAAATTTGTTATTTTTTAAACAATTTCCTTACTTCTAATTTAGATGAGACGAGATCTTTTACATTGGGAAGATGCACTTCAATTAGCACGTAATTTAGCACCAAAAGAAATCCCCTTTATATGTCGTGAATACGCTATAGAAATGGAATATACTGGTGATTATATCAATGCTTTGATGCATTATGAACGTGCATTAAATCCATCTGGTGATAATAATGAAGATAAGTCTTTATGGAATTCTAAAGAAAAGCACCAACCATCACAAAGTATTATTATTGTTTTCTATGAATTTTTCGGTTTATTTGTAATTTGGTCGTTTGTCAAATCCCAAATGGTAGTTTGGTCCTATATGAGGTCTGTCAGATAGATGTACATAAACTCCAGTATTGTTGTCCACGTTGGAACATGAACCCAATGCTTATAGTTTCAAACGCCCTATGTGTTATCCACTGAGCCATTGAATCAAAGTAATGCGTAACGTGTTCAGAATGTTGAAGATGTTAGTAATTCCACGCTGCTGATATTCGGAACTGAAATCAATTAGTCTCTAATGCCATATGCAAATCCCGAACAAATCTCGGAATAGTGTAATGTTACAGGTTTAATGTATTTGGTATTTGGTTATCAGTAGAATTCAGGACTTGTGGATAATGCATTGAGCGTTTAAAACGAAATGTACAAGTTTCGAGTCCCTGTGTTAACAACAACACAAGGATTTCGGTTTATTTATTTGACGAGCCTCACATAGAACGAAATGTATGTGCTTAATTCCACAACTCGTCATATGCTAAATATACTAAGATGTGTAACATTAACATTCATCGAAGCAAACCGCCAAGAATGCAGATATGACAACACAGACTGATTGATTTCATCCTCGAATGTTACCAATGCAAAATCAAAAACATTTAATTATTTTTCCAAAATATTTTATTTCAAGTATCGTTGATACATTCTTTTTAGAAAAAAGATATGATTACAATAAAGAAGAATGGTCAAAACATATCAATTTGTGTAATGCTGGTATTGCACGAAACGCCATTCGTCTTGGTGATTTAAAAAGGTATTTTGTTTTGATAATTTTTAAAATGTATTTAGTATTATTAAATAATTAAATAAGCTTTTTATATTTGAATTGGTTATAAATTTCTGATTTGATAACTGTCTATTTTTACAAGCTGTAGCAAGAATTAATGCATTCGTTTTCTTTAAACATATATAAGTTAAATTCACGGATTGATCTAATTTAAACCACGATTGAAAACTTGGAAGTACTGGTATGGACTAGTATGGGACTCTTCAGCAGTGCACATACACGACCCTACAGGCGAGACTTGAATTCAAGATAATGAAATTTGTTTCATAAAATTTCTTTTAAAGATTTATAAAATAATGTTTATGTGTATCTTACTAATTTTGAAAATCATTCAATAATGACATAAAAAGCATGTTTCTTTTTCAATGTCTTTTTTAATTTTTATCTTACTTGAACATTTAACTACTTCAATTCTACTCTCAGAGGTATTGAATTGGCTTCCACAAGTGGAAATTCTAATTTACAAAAAGAATGTGCTGATATTTTAGAAAAGTGTAAAGTGAGTTGAATCAATGAATAACATTAAAAATTATATGAATGTAATTTTGTTTTCGACCTATTAAATCCCTTTAAGTTTATGCTTGTTTCATTGTAATGTCTCTAAATCATTTGTGATCGATGGATAGAAACATCCTAAATTGTGTCTTATGACTACTCAATAACAATCAGTAGGTGATTGAATTATCCCATTGTTGATATTCAAGGCTGGATTTTGACCAGGATTTGTTAATGTATGTGTACATAGCATCGATATCGCCATTTCATCACAAAATTTAAAGAATAGATGAGTTGTGGCTAAAGTTGAGTGCCAGGGTGAGCCTTTCTCTCTATTTTGAACTCCAGTCATAAAATAAACACCAACACTGGGATGTAGATACATACACCTGACGAGTCCCAGATAGAATGAAACTAGAATCGCATATTCCAATGATAAATACAATTCATCCGTTATCAATGAAAATTTTTCAAGAGTGATTTAAAATGCATAAAATGAATTTTCTGACATTAGAAAATTGCCAATGCACGTTGTGCAAGAATCATGGAAAGCAGTAACTATGATCTATAAATTATGTACACATTTTGATGAGTTTTTACACGCTTTTTACCGGATTCCATGATCCAAAATTTGCGAACATATGGAGTAAACTCAAAAGATCAATAACATGTCCAAAATTGACATATATAGAAATTTATCGTTAACAAATATTTACTGCCTTATTGACCTAGGTCTCTATACAGATATATTCAGTATATTCAGAGATGGTTTTTGTGGATATTAGAGTGATTGAAACTAGATCACCATGGGAAACCTGGAATTGGAATCTCGCGAGGCGGGGCCGTGAATGCACGTTGCTGAGGAGTCCAGCTCTTGGACGAACCGGCCATTCAGTGCTCCCAGGTTTCATATGGTGGTCTAGCTTCAATTGATTCATGAATTCAAATATTCGATATATTCCATAAAATGATGTTCGTTTATAGTTAAAGCTCAGGTTTCGATTGGTCCCAACTCAAGCAATGTCGTGATACAGAACATTAATGATTTAGAGTCGCATACATTTGTTATTTTATCTGATCACTGTCGGTTGGAATCACCATTTCTATGAAAACGAATAAGATCAGTATGTTGATACACAGTCTCCACACTGTAGAAACAGGTTGAAGAAAATTTAGAGCTGGCCAAACAAGACATTGCATTAGTCATTGATTATTGATCTGAGTCATATTAGCACATGCAGACTACCTGATTGTAACCGATGTGAATTACGTGACCAAGTGGCGACCAAGTAATATAATATTTTGGTGAGGCTATCATTTACGAACGACCTTTGAGCAACACCAAAATGACCTAGGAATACCCACCTAATTACTAGGGTTAAATGAAAGCCATAAACCAGTGTGAGGAATTAAGATTATGAGTGAGTGAATTTCGCGCCAAAATTTGAGACCTGCTATCATAAATCTGATTGGTTCGTCCGTAAATTGTAGTTTCGCCGCTAAAAATGTATTTTATCATATGGTAATTTATCTGAAATTACTCTCACTTATTTTATTCTTTTTCTTAAAATTATTATTTTTACTATATTGAAATAGCATTGGCAAGAAGCGGCTAATCTATACGAATTAGCTGGATGTTATGAATCAGCAGTGATTGTTAATCTGAAATGTAAAAATTATATAAAAGTTAGTGAATTATTAATGCATGTTACAAATACACCACGATTACATTTACAATATGCCAAAGCACGTGAAACTGATGGAGCATACAAAGATGCAGTTGAAGCTTATGAAACAGCACATGATTTCGATTCAGTAATAAGGTGAGTTTATTGTATATACAATTAAATTTGATTAAAATATAAAATGAATAAAAGTGATGATTTTAACAAGTCAATATGTTTTACTGTTCTCAAGTTGGTCGATATTAAATTACAGTTAACATAAATGAATTAAAGTCGAATTAATTTTGTTTAACTTAGATCCAATGATAATGTGTTTGTCAGTGTCGATTTGTGAATATTATTGAATCTTATTTCGATCATGAATCACAGTTAGACAACCGATGAAACTTTAGAGACACTAGACTGCTATTTTGTCCTGATGTAAGACTCTCCAACACTGCTCATCCACGACCCTGCAACTGACAATTGAACTCAAGATAAGACCTTCGGTCTCGTGTACGAATTTTTTTCTTTTAAAGAACAAAGATTTTAAACGTTCAAAATGTTTGAAATAAATTCCATTTTAATATCAATTATTTATTGAATACATAAAATCTGGTACGATTGTGTACCATAAACGCTATACGAAAAAGGAAAGGGACATTAATTAAAAAAGGAGTGAATAAGTATATGTAATATGGCGTACAGCTCGAGTAGAGGTACGATCGAGAAAAAGTACTTTCAATCAAGAAAACTTACTTCATTTTTATAAAGAACTGTGGGATAAAAGTGGTACATATCTGACAACGTCTCAAGCCTGTGAGTTGTACCATTTCAAGCAACACGATCAGGGAGTTGTCTGTCTTCGACATACTTGACACTTAATTTCTGTCAAACTAGCCGACCAAATATTGACGAATATTCAAAGTGTTGACAAGTTTTTACATGTCCGTTCAACTGAAGCACAACTAAATAGTCTCTTTCCAAACTGAGTAACGTGAATTTTGTTCTGAGTTACAGTTGTAGTTCATAGAGAACTTAGTTAAGACTACTGCCCTTGTTTAAAACAAGTAGATTTATATTCTACCTCATGAAAAAGGAAAATTTTCTATACAGACCTGTTGAGGTTTATTTAAAGGTATTGGTCTGTAATACAGCTAACGATATGATATCGTCGAATATTTGGATATTTTTCAAGTATAATCCTTTGAGCTTATTCACTACTAGTGAAGAAATTGTAAATGCAAATTCTACTTTTCAACATCATCGCAAAATATATGAACGAGTTAGATGTTTGATATTCAAAGACAAGTAAATCTAAGATATTAAGATGTCTTTTTCGACATATAATTAGATAACTGAAATAATGTATGTACATTGTACTATAGCAAATAGTTTAAGTTCTAATCGCTATTTTTATGAATGCATTCTATCGTAAAACATATATAACACTTACGTCTGACACCTCTAGTGAAACATAGGCAGCCGACCACGATTCTCTAACCAACTCTGTCCTAGACTTCCCTTTCCAATTGCTTCCAAGTGCTATTCATTCTTCTGATGTCTTCCTCAAATTCTCGACTAAATGTGTTCTTTGTTCTGCTTTTTTTCTTTCTACTTCAAAAATTCCAAGTTAGAGCTTACCTCATCTATGGTTTGATGGTTTTTTCAATAATATCTGCTAATCACCTACGGTGAAACAAGCACACAATACAATGTAAATATTTCAGTGATAAAAATAATAACCTACATTTTCACGTTTGTTTTTCATTCTAGATTACAACTTGAAAAGTTGAATAATCCTAATGAAGCTATTCGTATACTAAATAAATCGCATAGTATTGAGGGTGCTAAAATGATTGCACAATATTTCATTAGAAATAATGATCAAACTAAAGCCATACAATTTCTTGTAGTATCTAAATGTTTCAATATTGCATTTGATTTAGCAAGAAAACATAAAAAAATGGAATTGTATGCAGAGGCTATCGGTATGATTAATTCTTTTATTATTATTCCATTCAGTGAATATTAATTAAAATAAAGGGGCAAGTTAATCAAATGCTCTCCCTTCCAACAAAAAAGACTGCTATTACAGATTTTCGGTGATGATCTAGCTTAGATCGACTCATGAATTCAACTATTAAAATTACTACAGTCTTCAAAAATCCCCATTCATATGCGCACTTGTGACTAGCTTCAAGATGGATTTCCAGGAGTTCTAGTGATAAGCCGTGACCAGTGGAGTCCAATCCGCGTCAGGTGGAGACAGTTATCCACTTCAGACAATGGATGAAGGGTTGTGCAAGATCATGGATCGATTAGAGTTAAACATTAACATCCATTGAATCCCGACTCAGTAGTCCAGATGTTAAACGTTCACGCGCAAAACCAAAAGTCCCGGGTCTGAGTCCCATATGCTGACTCACTGAGGAGAAGTCCCGTACTAGGACGAAACGGTCGACCAGTGCTTCCAGGTTTTCAATGGTGGTCTAGCTTAGATCGACTCAAGAATTCAAATACTAAATTTAAAAAATAAATAACATTTTATGTTTTTCATTAGATAAAATTTTTATGTGAAATACCTTTGTTAGGTGCTCTGAATGTTTGAAATTTCCAAAAAATATTCTTTTGGTCCTCAAATAGTAAGAACGACAGTGTTAAACATATCAAATTCTCACTATAATCTACTGACAGTTTTCGAGAGACGCTATAGTGACTTTGAGAATGCCCTCCGACAAACTAGGGATAAACGAGACTCGTAAACCAGTGTGACGAATTAGGATTAGAATTTACAGTAGATGGTCAGGGTTAAGAATTAAATTTATGGCTTTCATCACAAACTGACATCAGCTAAAATGCCAAAACGCTATTTAGCCAGATGCATGAATGAATTTCGCTCCGAAATCCAGGATCTGGTATTCAGAGTTCGACAACATCTTTATAATTGAAGTGTACATACCCACTCGTGATCTGGTGTGTATGAGTGACCTTCAGTTAGTTGTGTCCAGTTAAATTAATAAGGTCAGCATCGAATGTCGAAAACTTACAGAACTATTGATTTTGGAGATTTATTTACCGCTAAAATCCTTTAAAAATTAAGAAAATAAATTAAAAGTTTCATTTGATAGCTTCATGACTAGAAGTTATTTCCTTCACAAACTTAAATTATCAATGCTTGCACATAAATTTATATACATTCGTAAACTAAAGAAATCTTATATACTTAACTGTTTTACAATTCTATATTCTTACCGCGTCATAAGAATGACTGACTTAGATAGATGAAATTACATCTTAAAGATTTGTGTGATTTTTTTGTTGTTGTCAGAAAACTGTAATCATTATATCAATACAATCTGGTGTATTCGGACTAATATTATACTACTGATAATATTTAATGAGTAATTTAACAAATCACTTAGTAAATTGACTGGTATATTAAAAAAAGTAGTTTTTTTATGAATATTTATCCATTAACCCATTTGTTTAATTGTATTTTAGGTTTGAATGCATCTGTCAGTGAATATCAAAATATTGCATGTTATTTTGAAAATGAAAAGAATTGGTATTTAGCTGGTAAATATTATTTCTTAGGTAAACAATATGAAAAGGTAAAATTACACACAACTACTTTACATTAAATGAGTTAATATTTACACTACGAAATTATTCGACTATGATCTTAATCACTAATAATGATTTATATTAAACTAATACCAACGTCGGTTTCCGAAATTTTCGAAATAATCAAGTGATTATTAACCGCTACCTATCAATAACTTCAATTTCTAGTATGAATCACTCCATCAATTAAATGTTTTCATTAAGATTTAAAAATAATAATAATGGTCGCTATATTCAGTATTACTTGTTAATAATAATATGGAGTTCTCAGTGTACAACGCTTATATAGATTTATTATAGATTTTCATTAAAATCATGAACGGATCAATGTTAAACGACCAATGAAAACCTGAGAGTATGGAACATTTGTTTCGTCCCAGTATGAGACTTCTCAGCGGTGTGAATCTACGACTCCGTACGCAGGAATTGAAACCATGACCTTCAGTATCGCATGCGAACTCTCAAACACTAGACCATTGATCCAGCATCCAGTAGTGTCAATGTCTAAATTCAAGTAGTCCACGATATTGTGCAACTATCTCTCATTATCTTCAGTAGGTAATTGAGTCACACCCGTCCAATGCTGTCATGTTTTCAATGGTGATCTAACATTTATCTGTTCATGAGTTTAATATATATTCACAGACCAAGTATGTAAATTTATATTAAATTAAACTAAATATTTCTACAAAAATTAGGATCTGAACAACAGCGTATAAGATTTGATTATGTTAGCTCTCACAATCTTTTCGTTTCATTTCACACGTTCGCGATACGATTTTCTACAGCTTTTAGACCTATATATGCTAATGTGTATACTGCTCGTTCTGCTGGAATATAAACAAGAAAGATATAAATGAAGTGGACAATCTGTATCTGATAAAATAGAACTTGCCGGTTTGAAAGATTTCAGATATTCATTCGTAATGACATTTCAGAGATGACAATTGACTCACAATTCACCATACCGACTTTTTTCAACACTACACAACAGAAAACAAAAAATAATAAGGGACTATATAACATAATATGTGATATACAAGAATTTGCAGATAGTAAACATTAGTCTCGACTAATGCTAAAATAATTCAGCCTTTTTATACAATGTCATAAAAAAGTTCTTTCATGGTAAAATCAATAGTGAACAGAAGGAAAAACTTGCAGAGAGATAATCGCTACTTGATATAGCTGTTAGTTCAGAATCTTCCTTAGCATAAACTTTATGCGATTCGAATACAGTGTTCAGATACTTTTCATGTCTTAGGCTGAAATTAACAAATTGACATTTAAAAAACAATTCGAAATTGACAACCATACAATAAGCGCTAAGAACTAATTCACTTCAAGGGAATTTGCAGAGGAAGAAACTGACGTACAAACAGTAAGATTATCCAAAATCCTGGAACATGGATATAGGGTTTCCTGCCGACTAGCACCTGAAATATAAACATGATTTACTGAATGTCAAGTTATTTAGACTAGTGGCCACATTGTAAATTAATGAATAAAATTTGGTTATATCTAAGGACTAGGGATTACTACGTGATCACTAATGGTGACCAATAAATATAAAAACTGAACTCAAAGCTAGTCATTAATCGGCACATTGTTACTATTCAAGCAAAATTGTTTTCGGAAGACCTTGCATAAATGTAAAGTAGTATTTATTACAAATGGATATTACCTGAAAAACCAGTACAAATTAAGAAACAAACGTAAGTGAATATTATTGACATTTCTTAATTCATCAAAATTATCAGCAAACAAAATACCTCAGCTTGTCTTCGTTTCTCTAAAGCAATTTAAAGGCACAAAATATATTTGTGTGTCCAGAAAGTAACAGTAATTAAGTTATCATTACCTTGATTAATTGATGATTTTTATTAAACCATCTGCAATTAACATTAGTTACTGTATCAGCTCTATGTTTGTGAATCCCATCTCCGAATAACCTCACGCTTGCTTTTCATATATATATATATATATATATATATATATATATATATATATATATATATATATATATCCATTGGATGCCTAGCTATTGCACTATATAGATCCGTTGCACATGTCAGTCTCAAATACTTTTCAGCGTTTCCGGAAATGAAAACTTATACCCTTCACCCTGTTCTGCCACTTTATGTGCTCTATCACATACGTGTAAACGGATAAATGCAAATAGACATACGGAGAATAAAGGATCTACCAATTTGCATTTGTTTTAAGGAGCAGTTTTATTCCTCATAGGATTATCATTCTTATTGCTTCGATAAGCAATCTTCATCAAGGCATTTATTTTGCGGTTAATTATTTCAGTAATTTCATCTCCTTTGAAACGAATTGATTCACCCCACACAATTCAGAGCTTACAGCCACTACATGCTATAAAATAAAGCTTTACCACTGGAAAATGCTCAGCTAACACAGCTGTTATACTTAGTACTTATTTTATCTGTAAGACACTGTTTACATTTTTATTTTATTGTAATTTCTTTTGAATATTATTCTAGGCCATCAAACATTTACTTCATGTACCTTATCAAGAAAATAGTCCAGCTATCGATTTAGCACTTGAAGTAGTTGGTGAAGCTAATGATAGTCGTTTAACACATTTAGTTATTGTTTATTTAATGGGTGAAACTGATGGTATAGTGAAAGATGCCAGATACTTATTTCGTCTATATATGGTTTTAAAACAATATAAAGAAGCGGCTAGAACAGCTGTGATTATAGCGAATGAAGAACAAATTAATGGAAATTATCGAAATGCACATGATTTGTTGTTTAGTATGGTACAAGAATTAAGACAAAGAAACATTCATGTTCCATTTGAAATGTTTGAAAATTTAACTTTATTACATTCTTATATACTTGCAAAGGTAGGTTATTAGTTTTGTTTACAAAATATTGTAAATAATAGTTCATTTTCTTTTGAATTTATTAAATCAAGAAAATATGTAGTTTAAATTAGATAGAAACTAAAAATAAATAAATAATTTATACTACTGTTTTGTGATAAGTCAATGAAAACTACTTGATATCATGTTGCTTTCCCCCACACTTGATTTTCTCCAAGGCTAATTGTACGGCTAAGTTATTTAACACAAGTATATAGTGCAATCCTGAATGACTAAATATATTTAACATGGCTCCTTGAAGTTAAACTCTTTGCTTATAGATGATGAACACTGAAGGACATCTGTCACTTGAGAAGGACCTAATGCTACTCCAGAAATTTGAACTTGCAGCCCGTACTTCAAAAGATTTATAAATTAAGACAGATTCATGTGGAGCAAACTATGTTTGGGACAACGATTTTTTCTTAACATCTAACATTGATGTCGGTAGCACATTTGATGACCGATAAGGTTAGGATATTAAAGTCTTTTGGGAGAGATAGGTTAGTATTATTTTTCAGTAACCTCATCAAACAATTTTGAACTAGGTAACTTACGCAGTTATTTAAGTAGTTACAGATAAATCTGCTATGTACAATAAACTTGTAGTCTACATGCTTGTAATAGTGCATCATTTTGATAATTACTTGTTTTCATGATCAGATTCTATTCTAGCTGATATATTTATCTGAACTGTGTGTAAATTTTTATATGCCCACCAAAGCAGTTACAATGGCACAACAAACACAAAAGTCTACTTTGGATATCCTGGAGAGCATTCATAAAGAGATTTACTCGACGGTGGTCAGTAGCTCGACGTTTAGATGTTTCATGTATACAGATTATAAAGTAGACACTATTAAATCTTTTAAGGCGACCAATTAAAAAATAAGCCGTGCTCTTCTGAAATTATTGCTAAAAAAGAAAACAGTGTTTTTATTTTTCCTTACCATGGTAACAAATTATCTACTTCTATTGTAACTTTCAAATCGTCCTTTCATTTGGTTCCTCTGTTTTTGGTCCTCTTTTAGTTCATAGTTCTCCCTTAAACTAACTGAGATCTACATATTTTATCATTTATCTATAATTAAGCTTTTGTCCGCTACAATGTTCTTTGATTAATCACTTTAGACTTACATATGTCTTTATTGAATTTTCACGATATTTCCAGCTATTTATAATGTTATTCATAAGCTAGCAGTGGACATCTGGATTCATTAGCAAAATACATAATGCTATCGGTGTTTCAAGCAAAAACTAGTAGGTTTGAGTCCCGATATAAATATTAACATTGGCATGTAATTGCATCTAGTTCATCAGTCTCAAATACAACGAGACACGCATTCTGTATTCTGATATTAGCCACTATAAAACGTCACTAAAATTTTCTTCATCTGTTTAACTTTACCTAAATCATCACTTACACTACTTATGTGTCCATAATAGTAACTTCCAAAAGTATCCCTTTCTACTACTTATATATGTATGGTATTTTTTAATGAAATGTTTATTTCTCTTTGAAGGTTCATGTTAAAAATGGTGAACATTTACTTGGCGCCAGAATGTTAATTCGTGTATCAGAGAGTATAAGTAAATTTCCTGCTCGTGAGTTACAAAAAATCTTAATAACTCATTGAAGTTTAGTGTATTAATCATAAAACATGTTTACTTATTTCATATGGAACATATTAATTCAAAAATAAAGAGAATTCAGCGGAGAAAATTTCCTGTTCTCGGCGAAATCATTTACTTAACTTCTAGACCAATAAGACGGCATCCAACAGTGTTAGTCTAACTTCAACTAATCCACGAAATTGCGCAACCATCTTCTATCGTCTTCAGTGAGTAACTGCCTCACGACAGACATAAATGAACTCCACTGGTTACGACTTCTCACTAGAACTCCAGGAAATCTAGCTTGAAGCCAGTCACTAGTTAGCACATGATAATTATCAGTAAAGGGTTGAGGACCGAGGCCTAAGATCCTGGGTTCAGATCCTGTGTATGGAATCGTAGATGCACATTGCTGAGGAGTCCCATACTAGGACAAAACGGTCATCCAATGCTTCCAGGTTTTCAGTGTTAGTTAAACGTATGTCGACTCATAAATTCGATTGTGAAAAAAACTTAGTGGACTATTCAATGACATTCAATTTTCCAGGATACCAGCCAGTTATAACAAACCCAATGCTTGCCATTGATATGCTTTAATTTTAATTGCTATACCGTATTAGCGTAATATAACGAAATTATCGGGAAAAATGCCAGAGTTGTAGAAGTAGTGATAGTATCAGTGGTAGTTGTAGTTTTGACTGGAATTTCGATAGTAATCAAAATTAATATAAATAACTGATTCTCAATTTCGTCTTATCATTATTCATTTTCTAGATATTGTTCCAATTTTAACAAGTACTGTTATTGAATGTCAAAAAGCTGGTTTAAAATCAACAAGTTTTAGTTATGCTGCAATGTTATTACGTCCTGAATATCGTGATAAATTAGACGTAAAATATCGTCGTAAATTCGAAACACTTGTACGTAGAACTGATTTAAAAACTGATGGTGTTGGAGTTTCGTCATATGATAATGGTTCAATATTAAATCAAACGAATTATTCTGTTACTGAAACATCTACACCATGTCCATCATGTGGATCACCTTTACTAGAGACCAGTTTATACTGTACTGAATGCAGAAGTACTATACCATATTGTGTGATCACAGTAAGTTCAATTGTAATTTGAGAATATATACTATGTGAAGTGAACATTACTCTTATATAAATAAATATAATTTATCGGAGAACCTTGTTTAATCCTATTCTCAATACAAAAGAACAACATAGATCTCTTGAGAACGATCTCACAACCTCATATTCCAACGTTGTATTATGGTGTGCGCTTCTTATTTTGACAGATATAATTGGTATTTGACACCAATCGGATGTGGAATGCCTGCCAGCATATGATTAAACTGAAGAGAACAGAAAGAAAAACGGAGAGAAATAGGAATCACAACAGAATTAGAAGAATGATGGGATAAACTGTACGAATATATGCAAATGATGTATTTCATGTATGATCTTTAAATGTTGCAAAGCCACAGTGTGATTTTGAATGAAATAATAAACTGGTTTTACTTCCATTCACTACAGTATCAGTCTACGTTCTGAACAACCAAATAACTTCGTAACAAATAGCTGTATAACATTGATTCAGATGAAAGCTTTTTGTGGCCCGTTGTTTGATTTTGTCCCCATTTAGATCGACGATACTCGTTGGAGGGCTCACCACTTTAGTGGCCCTTTTGATCTGACTCCTTTTGGAGTGTACGAATGTTTGCTATCGCTGATTCTCGTATATCATCGTCGACTTAAATCACGTTAGTCCATAACGGAATTAAATAAGTCAATTAACGAGAATGGCATTTGAATACATATATTTTGTATGTAAAGTGAATGCGATAGAACAAAACGAAATGACGCGCTGGGAAGATGGCTGGGAAGCCAACTCCAATTCAAGCCGAACATTACTCAATATTTATAGGCAGACAAAATGAACTACAGACATGTGATGAGTCATGGGACATCAAGTGTACACACATGTACGCTCATGTGAAAACAGTCAAGGCTAATAAGCGAATAATTAACAAGGTCAAAACATGACTCAAGTAGAATGAATAGAATGGTATGTCCGAAAACTAGAATAAAATATATTATGAGCTAAAACTAATGACTAACACTACAAGCTGGTTTTTTTCATATTATTTTATTTATGAAACAAAAGATCACTTTAAATAACATGAAACAATGATAGTTAATACATTATTCGATTGTTAAAGAATCACTGTTACGGAGAAAATCCAAGTAATCGCTTTCATCAGTATAGAGTGGTAGAGATTGTTGAGTTTTGTTTAAGATCATGAATCGATCATTGTTAGGTCTCCACTGAAAACCTGAAAAAATTGATTGTCCATTTCGTCCTAGTGTTAGACTCCTCAACAGTGCGCATCTACAATCCTTCACATGGGATTCAAATCCTTCGGTCTCGCGCACGAACACTTAACCGGTAAACCACGAAACGGCCGTCCAGTGCTTCCATGTTTTCAATGGTGGTCTAACATTGATTGATTTATGGTCTCAATCATAATCACTTTTATTTATACTAATAAAAATGTTGTTAGATACTATGTCAATAATTCTTTCAAATTATAATTGTCAACTTAATAACTTAATTAACATCGACCGACTTGATATTATAATCAGAGAGAGGTTTTGTGGATATTATAGCAATTTAATAGTTGAATTCATGAGTCAATTAAGTTAGACCACCATGGAAAACCTGGAAGCATTGGACGACCGTTTTGTTCTAGCATAGAACTCCTCAGCAGTGCGCATCCATGATTCCACCCCGCATGACTTGAACCCAGGACCTATCAGCCTCGCGCGCGAGCGCTTAACATCAAGACCACTGACCCGGCTTCCAACTGTGTTAATGTCTAACTTCAACCAATCCACAACGTTGTGCCACCGTCCACCATTGTCATCAGTGAGTTACTATCTCAGTTATTAGTTATATATCTTCCTGAAAAAAGTTTTTTTTAAGTGAAATTAATCAATATAAACTGATTCAACAATAAATTTAATTTCTTATTTTATTAATATAATTAAAATATTATCTTTTTTAAAAGGGTTATCATGTTGTAAAAAATGATTTTGCCACATGTCCTAGATGCCAATTTCCTGCATTATACAGTGAACTTATGAAGTAAGTCCAATTACATTATAACAGGACGAATATTTCAAAAGTTGGAACTAGGTTTTTTTGAATTATTATTAGCTATAACTTTGTTGTATAATTACTGAATAACTGGATTACTTTGTATACATATTACATTTATCTTAATGTTTTGATTAGCCTATCAACTACGGTCATATGATTTACCATTCCTAGTCAATTAATTATAGTCTACCTAATTCACAGTACTTTTGGGATTGTTCATGCACAACTGTTATTTTTCATTATATGTTGTATTGTAGTCTGGTACATTTGTATATAAACCACGTCTGTTTAAAATATAAATATCCTAGAGGCTGTTTGCTACTTCTTGAATCAAGGCAAGATAAAGAGAGGAACATGTTTATTGTAGATCAATAGAAGCTTAGCTAATGGCTGAAAATCATTATTCCTAATCAGGCGTGTAATTAGTCAACTAAGTTGTCGAGATAATAGTGGACGTGAAATAGGCCAAATTAGAATCAGAAGCCTGATTAGTAAACCTGTAAGTGGTATTTTTCAGCGGTTCCTAATCATGACAAGTTAAATTATCGTTTTATGCAAATGTCCTTTTATAGGATTTGTTTTCTTTGTTCATTTAGAGATTCATTCAAGTCTTCAGTGTAACATTGTATGCATTAAACCATTTCAGTTGTAAGATCTAAAAGTAGTTTAGTCATTCATCTGTGGGTCTTTTGGCGCACACTTCTAAGAACTCACAGACAATAACAAAACACTAATTTAGTGCGCTTTGAGTTTTTTTTTTCAGTTTCTCAGCTGATCTCAGTCTGTACGATGTAAAAGCCATGATAAAATTACCTTTTGGACAAATTATTTATTGTCACTGCTGAGAAGTCCCACAATAGAACGAAACGGCCGTCCAGTACTTCCAGGTATTCCATGGTGGTCTAATTTCAATTGAGCATCTGGGCTACCTGTTCCTGCCATCTAGATATTTCAACAAGTTATCTATTGTTGTTTGTTTTAATATATCATTATGTTTATTAATCGCATAACCTATTCTGCTGCGTTTCTGAAAAGTGTACAACCTTTCGTTGTCAAAGTTACAGAAAACTCAATAAGAGACAATATGGTTGCTGGCAATGTACGACGAAAAGAATGTACATTATTCAGTCGTTCATTCACTGAAGTGCTAACATCTAACTGGCGATCCCTCAATATTTATCGCCAGGACCGACCAAGAAGAAAGAAACGGAAACTTGTTGAAATACTTTGTGCTGAGAATTCTATATTGTACCAAAAATATAATATTGAATAAAGCTAATAATAATAATAATAATAATAATAATAATAATAATAATAATAATCTCAACTATTGACATTATTAAATTGTTTTATACTAATTAAATTGTCACTATTGGAAACATTATAAGTTTCATTTATACTATACAAATACTTTTTTTTGGTTGCTTGTAGATATGTTGAAAACTATCCAACACCAATTTGTCCAATGTGTAATATTCATTTAACACGTGATAGTATTCGACGTTTAATTGACTCAAATGATATTTTAAATCAATGGATTAATTCATTGAATGTTGATATATGTGAGGATGAATCAAATGGGAAGAAGAATATAGAGTTAAGTAAATAAACAATCTTAATGTGATAAAGTATTGAGGATATTTATTTCGATGATTTAAAATAATAGTTTGTTTTTCTTTTCATTATAATAACAAAAATAAACTTTAAAAAATGATTATCATTTACTGTTCTAAAATGGGAAAATTCTTTCTTTATAACAGAAATTTCGGGTTTGTAAGCATCTACCAGTGTGGTTAAGCAACGTACTTACTTACTTGCACCTGTTAATCCCAATGAAACATAGGCAGCCGACCAGCATTCTCCAACTCACTCTGTCCTGATCCTTACTTTGTAGTTCTAACCAATTTTTGTTCATTCTTCTCATGTCTGTTTCCATTTCTCAGCGTAATGTGTTCTTTGATATTCCTCTCATCCCTTGACCTTGAGGATTCCGACTGGGGGCTTGCCTTGTGACGCAGTCGGATGTTTTCCTCAATGTGTATCCTATTTGTTTCCAGCGCTTCTTCCTGATTCCTTTCTCCACTGGATTCTGGTTTGTTCTCTCACATAGTAGGTTGTTGTTGATAATGTCTGGCTAACGGATCTGAAATATTTTGCGTAAACAAGTGTTACTAAACACTCGTATCTTCTGGATGATTACTTTCATAGTTCTCCAATTTTCCGCCCCATACAGTAGAACTGTTTTGACATTTGTATTGAAAATCCTGACTAGTGTTTGTTGAAAGTTGTTTTGAGTTGAAGATGTTCTTCAGTTGTAGATATTCTGCTCTTGCTTTTCCGATCTGCGCCTTCACATCCGTACCAGATCCACCGTGTTCGTCAATGATTCTGCCCAAATATGTAAAGGGTTTTACATCTTCCAGATTTTTCTCCATCAGTTGTGATTGGATTGATGTATGCTGTGTTCTATTGGAGAATCTTGCTTTTCCCTTTGTGTATGTTGATACCTATTGCTACTGAGGCTGCCGCTACACTGTTCGTCTTCTCCTGCATTTGTTGTTTTATGTACGATAGAATAACCAGATCAACTGTGAAGTCTAGATCGTCTAGCTGTATCCTAGTTGTTCACTGTATCACGTGCTTCCCCCCAAACGTTGATGTCTTCATGATCTAATCGATCACCAGGAGAAAGACAAAGGGTTAGAATAAGCAACCTTACCTGACACCGGGTTTTTCTTCGAACGAGTCTGTCAGCTGTCCTACATACACGATTTTGCGGTTCAATCCATCAAAGGAATTCCGTATGATGTTGACTATCTTGTCGGGCACTGCTTAGTGTCGAAGAAGCTTCCATAGTGTTTTTCTGTACACTGAATCAAATGCTTTCTCTTAGTCAATGAAATTGATGTAGAGTGGTAAATTCCATTTAATTGATTGTTCACAATGATCCATAGTGTCACGATTTGGTCAACACGCGATCGATTCTTGCAGAATCCAGCTCGTTGGTCTGGAAGTTGGGCGTCTACGGAGTCCTTTATTCTGTGTAAAAACACCCTGTTGCAGACGTTTCCTTGTACTGAGAGAAAAGTGACGCCTTTACAGTTCCCACACTCTTTGAAATCGCCGTTCTTACACAGTTTCAAAATTAACGTATAGTTAATCCCCAGTGAAGTATATCTTAAAATACCTAACTTGTTAGTAAACTGTAGTGAACGAGAACAAAAGTGTAGACAATCAGATGTATTTGGATACAAAATTACAGAGCATCTTAGTAAAATCTAAGAACCATACAGTAAATACTTCATTTGCAAAGTGTCAATCAGTCATCTCAGACTCCATTCGTTTCACACCAAACATTCTCTGTTCTCGTTCTCGTTTCTTCGATCTTCTTAGCCTTTTGCCACCAGGTATTCCATTTTTCGAATGTTTGATGCATACTACTTATTTCTGTCGACATCAGTAAAACATATCACAAACCATATTTCAAATTACCATGTTCGGAATGCGATTCTCCCCCTCAAAATGCAAAATGTTGCTTCAGGATTGGGCTGCATCGGCACGTGAACTAATTATAGGAAGTAAAATAGTTGGGCGTTTCAACCGCTTCACTTATCTGGGAAGTCTCATCAGCCCTTGTTGTCTGGTGTGTGGCGAAATCTCAACGCGGATACAGAAGGCTGGACTGGCTTTTGCCACCTTGCATCATTTATGGCGTAGGCAAGATATCCGTCTACCAACCAAAGGACGGGTTTACTGCACAGCAGTTCGTTCCGTCCTACTTTATGGCAGTGAAACATGGCCGGTAAAAGTAGGGGATGTTCGTAGGGTACTAGTATTTGATCATAGGTGTCTTCAAGGTATTGTTCGTATATCCTGAGGTCACCGAGTAAGTCATGCACTTATTAGGAAACGGGTACTAGGGATTTGAATCAAAAACTACATCTCTGTGCCAATGTGGTATGGCAACTCGAACTGATGTTCATATGTACGAATTTCTATGTTGTTACTGACTGACTAATTGACGGATGTTCATTTTCAATAAACTAGACATATAAATTTAGAATTATGTCTGATATTTGTTTTGTTATGATGATATCGTGGTTATATTTCATTTTTATCCGATGGACATCTATTTATAAGAAGGATAACAGTCTTCGTTAGTCTTTTTCTGAATAAAACGTTCCTTTCTATCAAGAACTCAGGACCAGAAGGTCCCAGGTTCGAATCCCGCGAAGTGAAGTCATGGATGCGCAGTGCTGAGGAGTCTCACAATAAAACGAAACGGCAGTTCAGTGCTCTCAGGTTTTTCATTTTGGTCTAGCTTCAATTGACTCATGATCTCAACTATAGAAATTAATATCTGTTGGAAGTTCATTAATTATTTTCTTTATACGGTCGTAATAGTGACCTTCTTCAACTGTGCAGTATCATACACACTAACAAGTTTTATTTAAAATGTTATTTACTAAAACCAAACAATTATCAATTCCTACTATCATCTGAGTTTGCCAAATTAAAACAATGAGTGGTTAATACTAATCGAATCCGTGTGAAGAAAGAACACAACATTAGGATGGTTTAAAATTCCTTCAGAGTTTAGTCTTTTAAAAAACCTGATTAATTGTTCATATATGGATGGGTATAAATATACGTGGTGATTTGTATTAGGCGTCTGAAATAAACAGAAATTCTTTAAATGCGTAGAATAGTATTCAGAATTTGTGAGTAAAAGCAAAACGCCGAAGTAGATATTGTAGTGAACAAGAACACGGGTGGGGACAATCGACTGTATTTGGCACAAAAATTACAGACTATCTCAATATAATGTGAATACCATAAAGTCAATCGTCAATTTGCAAAATATCATTCCATCATATCAAACTGTACTGTTCCCGTTGCAAACACTAATCCATTGTCTCCCATTCCATTGTACATGCGATTTCTTACAATTGCATTGTGTTCTTGCTCTTCCTTTCTTGATCTTCGCCATCTTCTGCTGCCGGACATTACGTTCTTTTAACGCACGTTATATACTACTTATATCAATATAAGTAGGTCACACCACAGATATTATCTGTTATCACGATTATATTGCTATTGGTAGGGGTCCGAATTATCATATTTTTAATATCTAGGACTGGATATTGGTCAATCACTGTTTTTATTTGTGGATCGTGGGCGGGTTGCTTCCATATGGCCATGTTGTTGAAGGTTATTTAAAATAGATGATTTGCAGCTAACCATAGAATCCAAAACATGTGTATCGTTTTATTTAGGACTCGTCAGTTGAATATATCATAATCCGGGCTGTGAAACCGTAACCTATGGCTTCAAACCTGAGCTACCGGCTCCAGGAGTTCATTAAATTGTTCAACGAGTATGATTTTTATACAATTATATGTCAGCTTATATCAATTATACCAATGAATAAACAAAATTCAGTCCTAAATATCAACAACGGAATAATCAAAGCCTTTACCAATAATGATAAAATTATCGTAACCGCTGGGCAAGTTAGAGACTATATCGAATAAATAGTTTTCTAGATAATATATTAACTGTTTGTCGATAAAGGTACTTAGTTTGTACTCTAAAGTGAACATTAAAACTGGGATCCTAGTGAATCCAACTGAAAAGTCCCAAATAGACTGAAATACTTGTCCTGAATTTCATTGTTAGTCACAATCTCTTTATTTCATTTAAATATTTCTGTACTGTTTAGAAATACAAATAAACGATAAATACAGTCATTGAGATATCACTAATTCTGTGCAGATAGATTGTTAAATAGATAACCTCAATGACTCTTGAATAAATGTAAAAATAAATTGACAAATATAACCCCAATCTATAATATGCGACGAATTAAAACAGATTATTGGCGCGCTATTACTAAACGAGTATATAAAATATCTATGACAACGAAATATCTAACCAAACAAATTTCTTCAACAAAGAATACACAGTTGATACCAAATATACTATGAACTTAACTGTTGGGGACGATAGATCCCCAAAAACTCATAGTTTGTAATTTTTATCGTGAGGCTTCAAATATAGCATTAACAAAACTTCATTTCATTATATACCTAGTGAAAAACATAAACAGATTCACAAAATCTATTAAGTATCCCAACAATATTGTCATTATGATCTGACCTTGGTATTGATGTATATAATAGTCAGTAATCAACCATATATCCTCAATTCATTTATCCATAACAAGAATATCTTCTTCTCTAACATTATATTCCCGACCGTTGTTGCTACCTTGACGTGGTGGTCTGGCTTGCCTATCGTGATGAAGCAAACGAGCTATACTGGCTGGAACAACCGTTCCTCAAGGTCCTACCATGTCAGACAGGTCGGTTGAAGAGCGGTAAGACTAAAAGCAACAAACCCAAGGTCCGAAGACGAAGTCGTACTGCTGACTGTACAGAGGTGTGACAGCAGTAAGGTGTTTCCTTCAGACAACCAGCATGACAGCGATGCTGCCTTCCCACAAGGAGGGGTGGGGTTATAAAAGATCGACCCTAAAAATGCACACCTCGCCTTATCCCACGGATATCCGTCTCCGGTGGTAAGGTCTCAACAAGTACGGAGCTAACACAAAAATCACCAATAAAAAGGTCGTGTGTGACCGACCTCAGGCAGTTGTCCCTTGGGCTCTGCGGTCACGCTCTCAGGTCACTGAGACCTCCTCTAATCCAACTTCCTTTTCAGGTACCTC